AGCAATGTAGACAAAGATGAAAACTGAAGGAAAAAACTACTTCAGTTTAGTAGTCAAATTCTATATGGATTTGGAAACAAAGGCAATGTAGACAAGGATGAAATGTCAAATGTTTTGTTTAATTATTACTTTTTTATATGTTGGGCCCTACAATTATTTACTTCCGTTAACACTTGATTTCAGATGATTAACCAAGGACTTTGATCGGGTCAAAGTCAGACTTCTATTGGTTCTGAACTGAAAGAGTGGTCTTCTCTTCTCAGTCAAAATTATCTGCACATGGGATAGAACGAGTCATCAAAGAGGTAATGGTGTGGTACCAACCAACCATCTTCGATGCCAAAGTCAGAATGCAGTAAACGGAGTGTTTGAGGGAGCAAATGGACAGATTGTCAAATTACCATTTAATTAATCGAATCTAAATTTTACACTTTACATGTCACATAAATATGAACTGTAGCTTATGGAGTTGCGAAATTTAATTAAAGTCTTTTTTTGGGATGTAGAAAGGTGATGGAGGGTTGACCGAAATGGGAGTTTTTTTTACTATATGGGATGGGTTCAGTTCGGTTACCAAACCGACGGTGGTCAGAATGCTACAAATGGAACTCCCACTTTGCAGATTGTCGGTTGAACCGACGGTTTCGATCATAACGATTTGGAGAGAGAGAGAGAGAGACCTGAGGAGATTGAGAGAGATCGAGAGACAGAAATTTAAATGTGTCCTTAAATTGCTCTGAATTGAAAATACAATGATAAAATTAAAAAAACTGAACCTACGAGGACCAAAGTGGTAAAATCGGCAAACTATAGGGATCAAAAGTAACCTTTATATTTTGAATTCAAGAGATCTTACTATAATATTTATTTCAATATCTTGAGAAATTGAAGGGAACTAAAAAATTTGGGGCACAATGGATAAGTCTAATTGAGACTTTTCTTGATCAAGTATAGCATGCAAGGAATACACACTAGGCATCGGGGAAAAATCAATGCCTTTTGTTTTCCCAATGGCTATGTAGTGTAGTCTATTAGCAAATTTGTAGTAGAGACAGGTGAGAGATAGTGTCGAGGTTTTTTTTGTAGGGGTTAATTATGCTAGAATCCACCTAGAGGTGTTTTAGCCAAACGAAAAGGAATTTTTATTAATATATCTACAAACAACAAATTCAAAAACATATAAAGCAATACAATTAAGTTGAATTATTAAGTAAAAGAAAAATAGCCTGAAAATAGGAATAAAACATAATTATATGTACAAGGGGTGAACTAGCTCAAGGGCATTTGGGGCCTCCTCTCTTGGTCTTCCAGTTGTTATAGCAAGGACAGAATTGCTTGTTCCCGTAGGTGCCTGGAGGCACGCACAAGCACTTAGCGCAGCACTTTTGGCAGAAAAACAAACATGGCTTCTTGTATTGTGTGTTTGAGCATCTTGTAGAGCAACGCGGACCACACTCTGTACAAAATCATGTTAAACTTCTATCAATAACTTTTCTTTTTTTTCTTTTTGGTTAAATAAAACAATTGATTTTAAAAATTAAAAAAAATTTATATGGCTGATTAGGATCTTTACCTTGAGGTTGAAGGCTGCCTTCAGTGATTCCATTCTGAATTTTTCAAGAAAAAAGAGGTAATTAATTAAATTGGGAATTTAAATTAAATATCAGACAAAAACATATCAAAAATTGAAGCAGAAAATGCCAGTAGATATATAATTTACCATCGTGTGGTTGTTACTGCCTTGGGGCTGTGGTGCTGGAGCCTCAGTGGAGATAGTAGCCTGCAACATAAATTTTTACGAAATTTGCAAATGAATAAATCAGATAGAGGTGGGGAGAAATTTCAAAATGTTTAAGTTCTGATGGGATAGACTTGCATGCACTCAATAATACCATTGAATAACACAATCTTCTTGTTTTAATTTTCTTTTAAATAATCCTACTGCAATTATATATCTCTGCTTCAAAGTACAACATGCAAATAGTTCAACAGTTCAATGAGAGACTTGAAATTTCTTAGGGTGATTAGGAATGCAGGCCTGTATAATATATACAGATGAAAATGAACATAGATATAAGGGAGGGTGGCACAGAGAGAGAGAGAGAGAGAGAGATATCAAAGATTAATTGATTGCTTACATGGTTCTCTACTATTAAGAAATGAAGCATAACAAGGCAGAGCATCACAATCCTTAGAGTCCTTTCCATTGCCATCATTGCCTACTGTATATATCAGAAAAGAGAAGTGCTGGCTACTATGACTCAAAAAGCAACTTGAGAGAGAGAGAGAGAGAGAGAGAGAGAGAGAGTTATATGTTTTCCTGAAGTGTGGTGTTAGGACTACAAAGGACTATTTATATACAGGATTGTTAAATTTGCATCTCTCTAACTGATAGATTTAGCTAGAGAATTCTATGGATGTAAACATTGAAAGGTATATGGTCTGACATATTGCCAGAGATCAAATCACATTTTTGTCCTTGTAGTTTAGCCCAAACTAAAGAATTTTGTTGTTTTCACCATGTCTTTTTTGTACAACTTTACTTGAATTCATTATCAGTGTACAGTTTATGCATCTCTTGGGGTAAAATAAAAATAAATTAATAAGGCATTCTTCTTTTGGTAAATATATGAAAGAAAAATAAAATGCTTTGTTGTACCCAAAAAAGAATCTATAGGCATTCCATATTCAATTAGAGTTAGTAAATACTGTGGCAGAGGTAGCAGCAACTATGGAGGAGAAAAGACAAAATAAATTGTCTTTGAATTTATGACCTAGTCACATGTGATGAGAAGTTGAGAACCATATTTGCAAGCAACAATTATAGCATTATGGATGTTACAATTTTGCATGCTAGTATTAAATAACAAAGTTTAAAATGAACCTAAATTTGAATCGATCAAACACTTTCCCGTTATTCGGTGAACAAAATTTGGTGTCTAATAGCAAAAAGTTTGTAACTCAAGTGATTAAAAGCAGTTATTCTTGCATCTGTTCGGATCTCCTTTCTCCAATATCATTTGTATAAGAAAAAAAAACAAATTCAGTGTCTAATACAATACAATCCAAGTAAAGGAAGATGAAAACTGACATGACCTGAATTGTGATAGGATATAGGGATTGGTATATATTCCTTCTTTCGATTCTCATGCATGTGAAATAATGGTAATGTGAAAGCGATCGCATACAACCTCCCACAAGACACATGTACATTCACATGACCCTGTTACTGTTGGGTTTCTAATGCACAACAAATGTACCACTAAAGCACAAAAAATATAATGTTTTTATAGAGCTTGGGAACCATACAATCACCTATCTGCTGTCCGAAACCATTGCCAGTGTAAGAGCCCTTTCTTTTGCACTCTCTCAACTCAATGCCCGTGACCAATTTTGTATTTGCTTCCATTTTCTTTTCTGTATTTTTGGAAGAGAGAGAGAGAGATGGTGTTGAGATGATGAGTAGTTGGCTGGTTGGTTATGTTAGTTTGGTCTCGTGAATCATTGTCGTTGCTTAGGCAAGAATCCAAGGACAGCAAGCCCACCATTGCAGACTTATAGCCATTGTTTATTGTTTTCTTTACACGCTGTTTTTAAAATTTTTTTTCTCTCTGAAAATTTGAATCTGCAAGTACGAAGCTTCACCAAAAAAAAAATGGATTTGACAAGAAAAAAAGAAATTGATACGAAAAAAAAACACACTCGCCAATAACCAAAGGAGGGGATAGTGGAGCGTCCATGGAGAGTGTAGGTGGAGTGCCAGTAGAGAAGGTGAGAGGAGATGGTGGTGGAAGGAAGGGGAGAGGGGATGAGTCACGTTGGGTAGGGTTTCTGTTTCCATTTTTCTTTTTTTTAATTAATAAATAATATAAAAGAAATTAAAAAAAATACAAATAATTTAAATTGATGTGATTGCCACTTCATCTACTAATTTTAATTAATGTGATTGTTGTTTCAAATTGAATATTACAAAGTCTCTTTTAGATATTTAATCGAACACATGGTGGGCACCAATAGAGGAGCAAATTTCGTCCACCCCAAAGAATTTTCTGGCGATGAAAGGTGCAACTGCCCCTCTTTGCTCATGTGTAGGACCACCAATGTGAGTATCTATGTGAATATTGAAAATGAAAAAAAAATGAAAGATGTCATGTTGCTTAAGAAGGAACTTCAGTTCATATGCAACTAAACTGTGAAGCCAATATGGCAAGTATTGAATAGCTTTTTACACTCTTTGAAAATTCGCATTACTTGTTAAATTTGGCAGTCCTCATTAGTAAATTATCGACTATATGTTTTGGAAAAATAAAATGATAAAATAGAAGTCTGTAAACTCCAATTATTTTTATATATAAAAAATAGAAGAAGTAGGACTTGTTCAATATATGATATGTGTATATATAAACATGTGTTGGCTTATAAGTGTAATAGAAAATAAGATAGTACTTAGCTGTGAATACAGAAACCAAACCAGAAATTAAATGGTATGTTTACTTATCAGGAATGGGTAAAGTCATGAATCGGGGAACTTACATAGGATAATCAAGGAATGTAGGAATCGAATCAACTACTCCCCTTAGTTGATCTCATTCCCAATTTTGAGGGTATTCAATTATGCATTTTAACTTATAATCCACATAATTTTTTATTCCTTATGTGTTAGTAAACACAAGGGAAGTCATGAGTTAGAATCATTCCAATACCCATGTATAAACACAGGAGAAATAAAAATTAGAATCATTCCAATATCCATTCCAAATAAGTAAATATACTGTAATAGTATCTCATCTCTCTCGCATGACTTGACTCTCTTAATTATCTTCCCTTTCCTAATACTCATATATAACTGACAACTTTATTGTTATTATTTTTTTTCTTTTAACAAAACACAAATGCAAGTGGAAACTAGCAGCTGGAAACTTCACCCAATACCCTCTCCAAACTCAAGCCCATTGAGCCCAATGCTCTTAAGCACCCCGCATCCAAGCCCGTTCAGACTAAAACAAAAATAGATGAAAGGTCACCTCAACATCCCTCCCTCCCTACGATTTGCAGCCGCTCCCATATCCCTTCAGTCCTCACCATCTGCCACAGCCAGTGGCCGCTGCTGCCACTTCCACCTTTGTAAGTTCTTTTTTCTTCTTCAAAACAATTCTCCGAAATTCTTTCTATTTTCTTCGAAATTCTTCTTTTCTTCTTTATCTTCTTCTTCGTTCAATTGAATTTTTTTCCTGCTTCTTTCCTATTTAGGGATTTAGGGTTCTTATAAAGAAGAAACAAAAAATGGGTTTTTTGGATTTTGACGTTACAGACTTGCTTGTTGGAAATATATGGGAAGACGATTTGCTTATATTGGTTGTGTTTTGATATTCAATAGCAAGGAGCAGGTGGCGTAACTGGATTTTGAAGTTTTTGAACTTGACTATTGAATGACTGCTCGGATTTCCGTCTCTATATAAACCGCCCTCCGCTCTCTCTCACTCACACGTATTTCTCGCGCTCGGGTCAATCACTTCACCACAAATTTCGCACGCAGATATTTTCTTCTTCTTCGCTCGAAGCTTCGCAGAGGTAAAGAAAACAAGTTCTCCAATTTTCTTCTTGATAAATTTTTTCGCTTGCTTTTTTGTTAATTAATGGATCTCTTGGTTTACGAACATGCTTCTACTTTGTGTTTGGTTGCTGAGAAAACGAAAAATGGAATCTTGAACGATAGAAAACTAGGTTTTGGTGTGGGAACGAAATTAAGGCCAGAAGGTTCAACTGATTATGTAAAAGATGCTGTTGAGTGAATGATTTAGCTGTATAAGGGTTTGGTTTGTCTTTACCTTTTCTGATTGGTTAGATCTGGTTGTGTTTGGTTGTTCAGAAAGCACAAAATTGGTGAAGGAAATTGAAGATTTGAAAATCGGATTTTTTTTTAAATTTATTTGATCTATGGCTTTTGATGACTATGATCTTTGAAGAACTTTTTCGTATTTAATTTTAAAGATTAAAGATTTTTTTAAAATTCTTTTTGTAATTGGATGAGCTTTTTGGTTTATGTAATTATCCATTTCATATAGAAATGTTTGGATTCGGGTTGATCTTATGAATTGCATTTGCTGTCTTCAATTAGATGAATTCATTGTTGTATCAAAACGATATTTTCGAACAGGAAATGAGTAGTGTGGGGGATGTTGGCAAGAGTTAGTAATAATGGTAACATGATAGATGTACCATCAATTTTCTATTTCAATTTTTTTTTTTTTTTATGTATGTTATGTTAATTGACTTTTGTATTGTATCATATCGTATCGTATCAGCATACCTGAACTCGAACCCGTGCAACATTTGTTCCTAATCTCTATGTTTTCCACTTATGAAATTGCTTTAATCTCAGGTACTTGGCTATGATTCAAAATGGATGCGCCATGCCTGCTGGGTGTAGTTCTGTGAATTCCAGAGTATGTAAGCCATCAAATACTAGTGGTTTTGTCTTGTCATGCATTCCTCGTTTTCAAACTGGGGCGGCTTCTCCATGCATCAGTTCATGGAGAGCTCATCAGGACGGTAAGTCTTGGTTGTATATTAGACTCTCAATGTTCTAGGCCTTCAATTTGCATTTCCACGGTTTTAATTCCTATATGAAAAATATGTTATATATTTATCAATTTGAGGCCGCATCTGTTGATGTGTTTCACAAACACTCCACCTATTATGTACTCACACAAACACACATCAGCTCAAATAGACTTTTTCATGTCATTATCAACCCATAGGGTGAGCTTAGTATTTGTTTTCATTCAATGTTATCTTGATTATAGCTATGCCACTTCTGCACCATTGTACCGTATCGAGCCCATTTTTAAGCGGGGATCAAGGTAGCTTGTTACGTACAATCCCCTTGTTGCCAAGCCGATGCAAAACTCGTATGGCCCCTCGAGCATCCAAGGATGTCCCATACAGTTTTCGGTTCCCTCCAATGACTAAGAAGCCAAAGTGGTGGTGGAGAACATTAGCATGCCTCCCCTATTTAATGCCCCTACATGAGACATGGATGTATGCTGAGACAGCCTATCATCTACACCCTTTCCTGGAAGACTTTGAATTCCTTACTTACCCATTCCTGGGGGCCATTGGGAGGTTGCCCAGCTGGTTCTTAATGGCATACTTTTTTGTTGCGTATCTTGGAATAGTGAGGAGAAAGGAATGGCCACATTTCTTCAGATTTCATGTGGTGATGGGCATGTTGTTGGAGATTGCCTTGCAGGTCATAGGGACTGTGAGCCGATGGATGCCACTTGCTATCTACTGGGGTAAAGTAGGGATGCACTTCTGGACAGCCGTTGCATTTGCTTACCTATTTACGGTGTTGGAATCCATACGTTGTGCTCTTGCTGGCATGTATGCAGATATCCCCTTCGTTTGTGATGCTGCATATATTCAAATTCCGTATGACTAATACGTGAAGGAGAAAGTATAAGAGAAAGAAGGATTTGCTTTGCTTGCCTTCCTTCCCATCTGTTTGGATTTTGTTGTATGAGATGATAACTTGTTAGCCGGAATAGTTTTCTTTTGTGTAAATGTTCTAATTGGGATCAGTTGGGTTTGTGTTGTAGCAGAATGCTCATTCGGGTGTTTGCTTATTCCATTGTTAATCAGATTCAGAATTAGTGTTTTGTTATTTCTCAATTTTCCAAGTAAATGATTCTTTGACTTGATTAGCCAAAGCTTAGTAATCGGATTCCGTCTTAGAATGCAAGAACCGCGTAGTATGCCTTCCGTCCAATTATTGTAGTCTAAATTGCATTTTTTTTTTATACCCGCTATTCAGTTTCATTTTCAATCTTGTCACTATTATTCCCATTTTTGTAATCATGTCTTTGCAATTTGCTAATGTGTGTGTTCAATCCCAACATAATCCTAATTTCTGTCAGATACGAATAGAACACGTTGAACATTAATCCCAACATAATCCTTGTTTCTAGGCATTGTAGTTTGTTGGTTTTACCATTTTGGTCTCTGTTGTTTCAGTTTTATCGATTTACCATGAAGTTTTAAATCCTTCACAATAGAGTATGTTACAAATTATGTCATATTTCTTCCAATTCTGACCAAAATTATGTCCAAAATACCCCTCTACGTCAAGGACACGTGCTTACTCTATCACAAATTTGGGTAAAAAATTTGGACGTGTCATTGAAAGTCATTTATCAACCCAGACAAGGCATGGTGTAGCCCATGCTTTGGCTCAATTTGGGTTGTGCAAGAGGAGTAATTTTTGAGTGTTCCGGGTACACCAAGTGGCTGGTGTATCATCCAATAGACGGAGGACATATGAAATATTTCCAATACAGCCCACCACATGTCATAAAAAGAAATGCAATAAGTTGGACAATAATTCCACATGTCCTATGTTTATTGGATGATACACCATTCACGTGGTGTACCCGGAACATATAAAAATTTCTCGTGCAAGAGAAAGCTCTTTGTATGGGAGGATGCAACGCCGTCGTGGTCAGCACCATTATTAGAAAACGACATGAAGGGCGATGTTAATTGCTTTTTTTTCCTTAACCAAATTTTCCTCGTAAATTTTTTAAGGTAAGGGGGTTGTATCCTGAGATGTTTTCATAGTCAATGAAGCATCTTTATAATAAATAAATCACCATAATTGAAACCAGAAGATCCAAAGTGAAAAACTCGACAAACTACAAGAATCCAAAGCGACTTTTGCGAATTATGTAATTAGGCCAAATCATAATGAAGTTGCTACAACAATTATAAAAGTACTAAACGAGTGTAATTTATGGTGACATCTTAAATTTATAATTAGATTAGTGATAATGATGGGAGGAGGGCGTGATTGAGATGTACACGGTTTTGCTTGGTAGGATATGTCTTGTGTCCTTCTCATCATACGATTCATATCCGCTATCTTAACCTAACCCCCCACACCCCATGTGCCATACGCGCATTATCTGGAAGCGGAGAAAACCAGTACGAACCTTGCCCCCACCAAAAAACGGCACGTCATTACTTTCACAAAATGATATCAGCCGTTGATAAAAATAAGCATATCTCCCGGCCGTCGATTAGGTGATTTGTGTTGGAAAAGTCTAACATGGCTCTCACATGAACGGGTCCCACTTCCACTCCTGCATTTCATTTATTAATTAATTGAAGTCATTAAACAAGTCATAATACAATAATCCGGGGTGTTAAGACTCAAAATACAAGTTTCTAGAGCTTTTGATGACGAGTAAGAGGGTGCAATCTTGACCCTTCAAGATTGCGTTGCGTAGGCCCCATTTTGTACCAACGGTTGTGATTGGATTGTCATAACCATGACGATGGACCGCTCACACATGAGAGATTTACCTCTTTTGTCTTTCTCAATGAAGGCATTGTGCCCAACAAGACTCGTATCATCATATCCACTAAAAAATTCGACCAAAATAAAAGAAGAAAAAAAACATCAAGACCCAAGGCTCAAGTGAGTGATGGATTTCAAATATCTTCCTTAAGATTTCCAGGCATATGGAAAAATAGAACCAAAAACTTCTATTGTTGAAAGGTGATTCAAAAATTCCCATCCAAGTGCTACATCATCAAATCCCTATTTTTTGGAGTCTTTGTACACTTGTTCAAGATATTTGAAAGTGTTTTAAAATTTTAGTTATTTCTCATTGCGTCGTGTTCATCGAAAAACAAATTAGTGGGTGGTATCCTTGCAAAATATGAACACGGTTATACGAATTCTTATATATTCTTTTTGATCGATGTACGAATCCTTATATTTGGCGTGAAGAAGTTTTACATAGACTGCAATTTGATAGGTATTTTATAAAGATCCCTCAAGGACCTTCTTTGTACATTTTTGTTTGTTTGAAAAAAAAAAACACTAGAATGGAAAAAAAAAACACTAGAAAAAAAACATGGAGATACCAAAAATATAGGCATATTTGCAAATTGTTTTGATTAAATAAAAAAAACAAGAGAAAACAAGTAAAAGCATCTCCAAGGGGATTTGATATGGGCTCTTCAATTCTTATCATTTTATGTTTTTAGGGCAATTTGAAGTACCATGTTATAATCAATAAATTTAGCATAACAAAATTCTTACCCAACTAAATTTCTGGTTTTCCTTCATTTTACGTAAATTATGGTTTCCCTAAATTTGGTTTTTCCCTATTGACTCAAGTTTAAATTATTAATTTATAATCATCTATGAGAACAAAATTAACCAAATATCACTAAACTAAATTATCGCTCCGCTAATCTAAATTACAACTTGAAATTCCTAAAGTTAATGATTTAAATTAAAGATATATTTTAATTTCCCTTTTAATGATGAGTAGTCCATGTACTATTTCAATCTCATCATTTTCGTCTCGATTCTTTCAATTCAATCAATGTCATCCTATCCTCTTATGATGCACATAAACTGTCATGTTGAACATAAAAGTCTTATTCTTTGCCAAAACTGATCATATGTGAGGCTCATAATCGACTTCTTAAGAATAAACTCGTCTTTATACTCTCATTAACTAGTTTTTATATTGATCATGTGTCTCACACGTAATTTCTTTTTACCAAATTTACATAAAATATAACATTGATGTGCAACATAAGAATATAAGAGGGATATGGTCGACTTGAAACAAAAATGACATGTTTAAAATTGTACATGAGTACTTCCAAAAAATAAAAAAAACATGAGTAGAAAACCTTTTAATTTTATTAACTTGGTACTAAACATGATTTGGAATACCGAACTGGCGCAGGCAACAAACCAAAAAACGGGCTCACATTTTTCACGATGGGTTTTGTGGCAACGTGGCATAGTCGTGTCGGTTCTGAGTCCTGACCCATCCAGTCAAAGTCAATGAACAACAGCTAGTTACCGTGTGACAACGATCAGGCGATCAACGGCTGAAAACAGTTGTAGAAGCTCCAAAATCAGCAGTCCGTACAGAACAAACCAGTGGCTGGCTCGGTATACCCGAACCTTAGGTTCGTAACTCCCAACCACAGAGGCTCGTATTTTCGTCTCTATATAAACCGCCCTCCCCCACTCTCTCGCTCTCACACGTATTTCTCGCCCTCTGGTCAATCCCTTCACCTCAAATTTCTCACCCAGATATTTTCTTCTTCTTCGCTCACAGCTTCGCAGAGGTAATGAAAACAAGTTCTCCAATTTTCTTCTTGATAAATTTTTTCGCTTGCTTTTTTGCTAATTAATGGATCTCTTGGTTTACGAACATGCTTCTACTTTGTGTTTGGTTGCTGAGAAAATGAAAAATGGAATCTTGAACGATAGAAAACTAGGTTTTGATGTAGGAACGAAATTAAGGCCAGAAGGTTCAACTGATTATGTAAAAGATGCTGTTGAGTGAATGATTTAGCTGTATAAGGGTTTGGTTTGTCTTTACCTTTTCTGATTGGTTAGATCTGGTTGTGTTTGGTTGTTCAGAAAGCACAAAATTGGTGAAGGAAATTGAAGATTTGAAAATCGGATTTTTTAAATTTATTTGATCTACAGCTTTTGATGGCTATGATCTTTGAAGAACTTTTTCGTATTTAATTTTAAAGATTAAAGATTTTTTTTAAATTTTTTTGTAATTGGATGAGCTTTTTGGTTTATGTAATTATCCATTTCATATAGAAATGTTCAGATTCTGGTCAGTGTTTCTAGATTTTAAAAACTTTTGGTGGGAAATTTATTAGATTTATATAAAATCAACAATTGTAATGATTTTCAAAGGGACACCATAATGGTTTAAGCCATCAGTTTCGCAAGGCTGATCTGGATTTAAACCATGGTGGTGTTGGAGATTTTTAATAATTGAGTATGCAAACAAGTGCATTGCTTAGAAACGGGTTGATCTTATGAATTGCATTTGCTGTCTTCAATTTGACAAGTACTTGTATGGGAGAAGATTTGGTATCTCATTTACTGCATTTTTCCTTTACAGTTGAATTGCGCTGTAGCCAAAGATGGCACTGGTTTCAGGAGGATCAACGTTGAACCCGAATGCCCCTCTCTTTATCCCTGCTGCTCTTAGGCAGGTGGAGGATTTCTCCCCTGAATGGTGGCAACTGGTTACCACTTCCACATGGTACCACGACTACTGGCTCAGTCAACAGGGTGAGGATGGCTTCTATGATAATGCCCAGGGTGACTTTGACAATGTTGCAGATTTGCTTCCGGAGACCTTTGATCTCGATGCTGGCGAGGACTTCTCCAGTTTAGAAGCTCAGTTTGAGGAGTTCCTTCAATTGTCTCAGACTGAAAGTAAAACTGGTATGAACAACTACTCCAAGAGAATGTAGATTATTGGCAATTGGGATGTAAAAATTTGATGCAGTTTCCGAAATGCTGTTAAGACTGTTGGACTCAAATTTTCTTTTGGAACAGCAGGGTTGGAAACAAGTACTGCGGTCTTGAAGAATTTGAAATCACTGGAAGACAGACGTTCCCCAGTGGAGCCAAGGAGGTATGCTGAGAAGCCTGCCAAGCATGTGAGCCCGAAATGCAGCCCCCGCTTCATCCAGCAGCCTCGTTGAAAGCAGCTAGCTTGTCGTGACTTCTTCCTTATGTAGTTTAGCCAATGGCAGAACCCAAGTAATTTGTAGTTTTTCCGTTCCCTGTAATTTCTGTATAGAGCAAGGTTGAAACACTTGCTTCCATCCTTGTTCATTCCGATGCTCTTTCTGTTCAGTTTTACTAAAAATACCTTCGGGGTACGAAACTTGTAAAAAAAAAAAAGTTTAACAAGAGAAGTAAAAAGAGAAAATTTTATAGTTCTTGATGTGTATCAAACTTAAGTTTTGGCAATTGTTAAGCTTATTTAGAAAGCTTGCGCAACATTTAACATGTTAGGAGTTTCCTGCTAATGAGTTTTTGGACCACGGTCTTTACTAGCATTTTTACAAGTTTAATTAAGCATTTAATTCTCTAATTAGACCCATAATTTGTTCATCATACTACACCAAAGAAATTTTTTTTCGTCAAATTCTGTTTTCATCCCTCGACAAATCGTGCCACATTTAATTTAATTTCTCTCAAATTAAAAAAAATAAAAATAAGAAACACCAATCATATTCCCCTTCTACACTTGCTTGGGAAAATCTTCTCCTAAAAGAAGCAATTCAGCCATCGCCAACTTCCTTAGGTCATCTAAAATCTTGTGATTCAATATAATTTGCACCCCCTTCAACCGATCATCTCAGAAGGAGCTGTCATTCAAAACCCTCCTCTCAATTCCTAAACTAGGAAACAATATTAATGATTTATATAATCCCACCAACATACTTAACGCTATAGGTTTGCGCAAAACAATGTCGGCGTACAATCATTTTTCCTTCGATTAAACTAGAGGAACTGTTCCTTTAAACACTGCGACTCGCTTCTCAGAGCTACTAGATTGACCAGGTTTCCAGAAGAAATTGATGCAGAGCAATCATGCTTATCTTCTCTTCAAATGGACGCCTCAGAAAGGAAATCTGCACTATCCATTTCAAGCTTTTTCCTTTGAGCTTCAAGTTTGCTCTGGTTTCCAATGGCCTCGGATATTGCTTTCGGTAGCCAAAACCCAGGTCTCTCAAGAGACCGTGCCCGATCAAGAACTAGTGGTTCTCTCAAAGTGATTTCAATGCCATCATATGTCCACAATGCCAAGGTTGCTTCCCCTTTGAGACCTATAGAAAACCAACCTAAACCAGCTATTGCAATATCAACGCTATTTACATCCCAACTTGCTCCGGACACTTTGATTTCCCTCTCTTCCCATGTGCCCATCTCAAAAGCACGGTCGGTGCCAATTGGAGGCTGCAAAAGTATAAGCCATGTACAGTCAGTAAAAAGTATACTTAACCAAAGGAGCCCTTTCATGCTATTTCTTGAAATATTCAAAGGGGAAAAGAAACTAATTAATGAAGATTGGGGGCAACTAAACATAGTACTAACAGTGTCCTTCAATTGATGGTTATCAATTTGAGCAAAAATAAATATTATATATATAATAATGATTATCAATCAATTGGAAGGATGCCAAGGATGCTACCGTCCATTTGACCTTCCCATGATAGTAAAGTGCCTTTGAGTTTGAAGACTAATAAAACATTAACATAGCTTACTTTAGTGCAAAGCATGTCACAAATGCAGACACAAGAACCATTCAAGACAACATTTGCTACAGTAGACCATAAAAATGATACTATGTTACAAGAAAAACCGTTTCAAAACAAACTGCAAATGGGTATTGCAGGTCTCTTCTGCTCCAAATTATGCTGCAATCTCAATGCTACTTCGAAACAGTCAGGCAGACAACTGAAAACATTTTCTCTTTGTTATATTTGAGCATTTAGGTTCACTTTATAGACTAGTCCTGGACACAAAATACGGTTGTGCCAGATGAAATAAACTAAAGTATGCTTGAGCTTGAGGATCCCACTTAAAGACTTATTGTCTCTTCGTTATGTTTGAGCATCTAACTTTTCTATAGTACTTCCTGTTGTACTTCTGTTTGGTGATGCATCAGTATGCTTGAGGAGCCCATTTTGTCTTAAATTCCTACAAATCAATCAGATCCATTTTCAACATTACATATTCTAGGAGAGGTTTCGTCCTTCATGACTATAGGGTAAGCTGGAATCTTTAGTGGATTCCTCAGAGCACTATAAAGCTACACCCCCTCACAGATTCCAAAGAATCCGGTTAAACATTTGGTGGGCCTTTTCTATGTTAATGACTAAGTTCTTACTGCTTACTAAGTTTCAAATGATGAATCCATTGGTGCTACACACATAATATATATATATATATATAAGACAATTTTCTAGATAAGATTTCAGTAACAATCATTTTATATTGCCTGCATATGTCAGGACTATAATATCCTTATGAGTTTTTAGATCCAAAATTAAATTGCATTGAGCTAGCTATGCTATAAAATGCATAATAATGGCAAAGATGTATCTAACTGGGATAAAGAACTACCTGCAACCTAACACCACCATGTTTCCTCCATGTCTCATCAGCATTTTCTGTCTTCCCCATATGTAAAGAAATATTTGGCGAAGCCCAAACTGTTAAATAAATTGTTTCCACAGAAGCTTGAATAAGGTCTAGTCTCACTAAACCACCAACATGTATGGTTTGCCCTGCCTGCAGATATCAAACATATGAATTATTAAATCCCATAGCACTTAGGTTGAGTCAAACCCTCACCTTCAAAATTTACTTGTCCATGCTCATGCATCGGCAAATAGTATATACATGGAAACATTAAGGACTTTCTTCTCATTTTAAAATTTTAAACGTAGAATCTAAATAGAATATTGAATTGATAACTTAGGGGCCTGCTTGATAACGCTTATGATTTTCGTTTTTAGTCTTTCTCTTCCTTGCTAGGTTAAAGAGATAGTGGGAAAACATACAGGTGAAAGGAGAGAGGGAGGTGCGCTGCGAGGAAGAAATGAGGGATGGAGAAAGGATGTGAGGAAGAAATGAAGGAGAATACGTTAAAAGAAACTGGAGAAACTTGTTATTGGTTTTTGCATTTTATTCATGAATCATTTTATTGTGCAGTTTTTTGTCTTTCCTATATTTAATTAAAAATAAAAACCATAAACATCTTTCTCACCAAAAAGCCTCTTAACAACTTAAAGCAATTGAAACAAAAACTATGAAAACTGGAAACACTAGACGTAACAGTAAAAAAACACCCAAACTATTAATCTAATGTTCACTCCTTGCTTCATTATAGAATAAAGCTACGTGTTCCTGCCATATCAAGTAAACAAAATAATCTAATATCTACTGAATTTTAGAAAGCCTCTTGCCACTGAAAAAGCACGCTCATAGACATTACATTCTAAGATAACTCCAGTACAACAATTCAACTAACGCTTCACAAATCATTCATAACCTGCAACTTAAAATAAGAAACCAGAAGAAGGATTAATTGCTTACAGAAGCGGTCAAGTTTACATGTCTTTTGATTAGGGCAGAAAAGTGGGGACCTATGCTCAAGAGGTTATTGAAAATGTTCATATGTTATTAATGTGATCAATTATTAGGATTTCAACAAGAAGTCTCAGGAATTAGTATTATACTAGCTTTAGTCAAAATGTGCATAAGGATAAAATACTGATGAATGCACATAACAACTACAAACATATTTAAAGAAAAAATGGTCCAAAAATAAAACAAAATGGTAACAACTAACTTGCCTTTATCCTATAAGTCCGAGGATGAAGCTCCTTCCGTATTTCAACCATTTTCTGTTCATCCCTATTCAATCTCATGGACACCAAATAGGGATGTAGAAGTCCTGGAGTGTCAAACAACTTTGCCTTAGCCGACAAAATCCCTCCAACTCTCAGGATCCCCAGTGTTGTCCCAGGAACTGGGGCTTCAGTGAGCTTTGTAACCCTTGCACCCTCTTTCTTTGCCAATGCATTTATTAGAGTAGACTTGCCTGCATTTTGAGCCCCAATAACCCATACATTCCCTCGAGGACCAGCCAATTCTTTGAGGAAGGACAACAAATTCCTGACACCCAAATCCTTATGAGAACTAACCATATAAACCCCACTTAGCTTAGGTCCCCCTCCAGCCTTAGCACGATGGCGGACCCATCTATCCAATCTAGCAGGTGATACTTGTGATGGGAGGAGATCAACCTTTGTGGCCACAAGGACAAGCTTTGGCAGTCTTTTTTTAAGCCTAGGATCATTTTCAGTTCCTCTTAATGCTGCAAACAATGACTTCGCAGCCCGTTTAGGGAATGACCCATCAAAATCAACACAATCAACAACCATAACCACGACAGGATTGGCACTTGCAGCAGGTTTAATTAACCGGGTAGCAATCAACCTATCAAAATCAAAATCAGGCATTAAATTTTCAGCCGCTTGGTTCTTCACCTGCCCATAATTTCTTAACGAATGACATCGCGCACACACTGTAACCTCTTCTTTCTCTTTCTGGGCCTCTCTAGCCATTCTCTTCTTTTCTGCTTTAGGAATCTTCTTCTTCTTCATTTTCTCTATAGTTTCCTCTTTAATGTTACCGTACCCAATCCCTGCCGGAGTAAAACCATCCAAATCCAAATCATTTTCTTCCTTCCCCAACAACTTAGCTTCCAAGTCATCTGAATCCCAGTCAAACTCATCCCCCATTTCCAATTCACGTTCTTCTTCATCACTTTCTTCATACTTACCCTCAATTCCATCAAAAAATTCATCTTCTTCTTCTTCTTCTTCCTCTTCTTCATCAAACTCTTCCAATTCATCCTCAACACCCTCCTCACCATCTGACAATTCTGATACAGTAAGCTTCCTTTTCTGATAATACCCAGGAAGGTTTGGGTCCTTATCTTGCATAAAGACCCCACAGCCAGGGCAAAATGGCCCATTTCTCTCATCCTCATCTCTTCCTTCACTCAAAAATGGGTTTCCAATTCCACCACCTTTTCTTCGTGTAATCTTCCCATGAACTTTCTGGGCTGTCTCTATGCTTTGTTGGTTGTTTACAGCAAAATTTATAAATGAAACTTTGTTGCCATGTTTGTTTTTGTCTAAATTAAAGCCTAAGAAACCAAAAAACAGTGTTATTTGAACGCGGTTGCAGTTCTAGCTAAAGAAAAGAAAAGTGAATGAAAACGGAGAAGTAGAGTGCGTTTACCTGCTGAAAGGTGAGCTTTCGGAATTGGGTTTTCGTGTATGTTGCCATTGTTGAGAAGCTTCAAGCTCAGCTTTGCTGTTGAAGGAAGAGTTACTATAGATAACAAAGTTGTCATTTTGTTCAAGGGAAGGAGAGAGTGGGAAGAAGAAGACCAAGTTGTGTGCCTAAGCTTTGGATGGCAAAGGGCGGGTAGAGAGTTCGGGCCGGGTCGGGTCGGCCATTCAAGTTCGTGTTGTGTGTTTCTGGGCCTGCAACAGGTCAGGGATGCGCACTTCAATGGATCAGGCCTGAACGTGGTTGCAGACTAAATAAAGATTTTTATACACTCGGGTCTATAGATTTTAGGGGCATTTTGTTTTTGTTTTTTTATTGACAAAAAGTCAGTTTTCGTCTCTTTCATAGTTTCAAAATTGATAAGTTGACCGTGTAGTTTGATTTATGAATGTTTCAAAACTGATAAGTTGACTCTTGTTGTTTGATTTTTATTGCAATTTAAGGACACACTTTTATTGCAATTTAAGGACACATTCATATTTACGTCAAGAAAACTGGTAAGTTAACCCTTGTAGTTTAATTTTTATTGTGATTTAAGAACACATTCAGATAGATTTACGTCCAATATCTTGACGTGTTTTACGTCCAATATCTTGACGGAATAAACACATGTCTCTTATGTTTATGGGTATTTTGAACGGAATTTTAGATTGTCTTGATGGTTTTTAGAAATGACTTGGATGTCTTCGTGTTAGTCCTCCTTGGAATCCAACTTTTCTTGCTTCTGGTGTGTCCTCGTTCTATAACGTGGTCCTGCATTTTGCAAAACGAAAATGTTACTTTGTTGTTGGTCCTGCCTTAAAACAATACTAACAAGCACAATCTAATATGTTTTGTTTGGACTGTATGGCAGGACCCAGGTTGACCTTCTCCTGGGTTTCAGAAGCCCCCCAAAACAAAAGGAAATTGAAAATTTAAGCCATAGTGCTTGCTTGTATATATCAGTTTCGATTTGTTTTTCTGGGACACCAAACACCCAATAAAAATTGAAAATTAATCTCCTCTCCCTATCCAGGTAGCCAGGTGCAACCAATAAAAAGCTCGTAGGCCAAACTAGCTACAAATTACATTGAAAATAAAAATAAAAGATGATGTAATTAGTTCATACAGCACAAGGTAGAAGAAAATGTTGCAAGTATCTCAGAGCATCATCAACGCTCACATATCTCCAATTTACAACGCTTAAAATCCCCACACTCACTTCCTTCACCTTCCTCCTCCCATCACAAAACCCCAACTTCAAATCCGCCACAATCCCACTAGAAACAACCGCACTCGACCCGCAACAACACCCCGGCGAAGGAAGCTCCTCCGAAAACCAACCCTCCACCCCTCCTTTCCCTTTACAATTTTCCATCATCCCAAAAACACCCCTCCACCCTTCCAACACCACATTCCACGTCACTCTCACCGCCTCCTCATCTTCCAATGCCTCAAACACATCGTAGTTATCAACACCGATGTCGAACTTGAAGATGCCATTGGGATCGAGGGTTAGCTCCTTTCCGGGTTTTGCGAGAGTGCAGAAACTGTTAGATGATGAATTGTTGTGGCGGAACATGTTGATTGTGAAGATGAGGTTGTCCAGAAGAAGGCGGGGTTTCGGGGGCGTTTGTCGGCGGCGTTTGGCAGCGGAGCAGCCAATGACATAGAGGCGGCGGTAGGGGACCGTAGGGTTTGTGATTTTGAGGGTAGAGAGAGAAGGGAAATTGGATGTGCAAATTGGCTTCCAAAGGTGATCGGAGGACATGGAAATGAGCCATGACTTGCACACACATGAGGCTACGGCTAGGGATTTGGGGTCAAGATGGTGACAAACTAGGTCAAGGACTTCCCATGGGGCCATGGTGACGATGAAAATCTGTGCTCGCAGAATGTTATATATTAGGCGTTGTTCGGTGTTTTATTTGAAACCAAAATATCAAAGAGAGTTGAAAAATGAGTGGTTTGAAGGTGGCGGTGGTTAAAAGTGGAGGGCTGTGGTGTTTTGGGGGAGAGGCACGTGGAGGAATGTGTTGTTTTGCATGGATATGAGTTGCCACGTTAGATTGCAGTGTGTGTTTTGAGGATTCTGAGCGGAACACACGTGCCAGTCACGGTTGTACACGTGCCATTACTTACTAATCACTAGCTACAAACGTATATTATTTGCTGGGTGGGGTTGGGATGGTGATGGTTGCCACGTGCAGTTCGTGGGTGGGGTCCGATAAAAAAGAGAGAAATTTATTATCATCACTTTTTTCATATGTGGCAATCATTTCAGCTAAAAAGTGATCCCACTTATTTAATATAATTGTTTGTGATCATATTTTGACGGAGTTAACGACAGGAGCAATGTGAATCACTAAATCAATGAGGTAATGTAGGTTATTTTAACTTCCATGAGCAATGTGAGATTTGATCATAATTTTAAAACAATTAAGCTTTTTATTTTTATTTTTTAAAAGAATGAAAACCCAACGGTTACCTCCAATTTGATGACTCATATTTAGTATGAGTAAAATCTAACGGCAAAAAAATTTCAGTGGCCAAAATGTTAATATTAATTAATATGAATCATATCCAACTCCCAAATTACTCAACACTCCATAATTACCTATCCATTGTTTATATCCATTGTCGGAATTCCATCCTCATTTTCATTAATTTTTTCCCTCCATGCTCACCATACATGTAAAATTGAAATTGGGGATTCCCCATCACTTGCCTTCGTTGGGGAAACGAATGCCCCACCCCGCTCCATTATTCTAAACGAGACAAGTTTGAGTTGGGGATTAAAATACTATCCCACTATTCCCGAAAAATTTCCCCATACCCAACTCATTAGGATATCAAAACCTCGCGAAGTTCCTAACTTGTGAGGAAAATTACCATCCCTTGTATAGATGAGTAATTATATATGAGAGAGGAAAATCTAAATTTGAGTCTTACTTTTTTTCAATTTTTATTACAAAACCTCGGTGGAATTGGAAAATTTAAGTCCTTTTTGGAGATGGTGGCACTGTTCCACTTTAAGACAACCACTGTTGTTTGGAAAAAGAAAACGCATATATGGTAGCATGTGTAGATTTATTCACTGATGTTTAATAATTTATACATGATTATTGGGTTTTTCAGTTGAATTATGAAAGGGTTTTCACATCTAAGCCTATAAATAGGGCTCCAAATATAAAAAATGGATTTTTGTAGAAATGTCACCTAAACTTATACCTCAGTTTCAATTTGACACTTTAAAGAAAAATTTAAGAAAAATGTCACCTTAAATTTTCAAAATCCATGATTTGTCATCTTACTTTAACACCATCCAATTTTCCATCCATTTTTTAGGGTATTTTAAAAATAGAAAATTCATTTATAAAAAAAAGTGTATTAAAAAAAAATCTCACTGGTGCGATGTGTTGTGGGGTGGGGGAGAAGGGAGAGAGAGGTCTTTTGCATTTTTTCTCCCTTGAAAATGGAAAGACTAAAATACCCTTTAAATTGGATGGTGTTAAAGTAAGATGACAAATCATGGATTTTGAAAATTTAAGGTGACATTTCTCTTAAATTTTTCTTTAAGGTGACAAATTGAAACGGAGGTATAAGTTCATGTGACATTTTTACAAAAATCCCTATAATATTCAAATTCTAGGAAAAAACCTATTTGACTTTTGAAAGGATCAAATACCATACAAGTCTTAAAAATTCTGAAAATTACAACACTGCCATCAATGCTTTCTTTTCTAAAAATCATAATGCAAGGATAATAATGGTATTTCACACATCATTGAAATTAAAAAAAATAGTTAACTGATCATTTTTGGATTTTTTCCTTTAATTTATAGATTTTAGTGTTTATATATAAAATCAACGGAAGAAAGTGAATTTCTAAATAATGTAATTTCAGAATTTTTTTTTTAAAAGTGCTTTTATTAGTGGGGTATAAATAGAACATCCCGTACCACTGTCACTTGAAAGTTGAAGTCCTCATTTCTTTCCCGCCTATTTAACCCTCTCACTCTTCCCACTTCCAAAATCAAAAACCGTTCATTTCTTATGGCGCCAAGAAAGACCGCAACACCGTCTTCCTCACGCTCTCCGATCCCAATCGGTAAAGAAAATCTCACAGAAGAAACCCTAACCCTAGAAATTCAATTCCATTCGCTCACCCTAATCGCTTGTCCTTCGCAGGTAATTGCGAGGTCACAGTGGAAGCAGCTAATTTCAGTTGCCACTCGGACCCCAACACCCTCCAAATCTCCGTTTCCAGGAGCGCCAAAATCAGCATCTCAGGTACTTATTCGACAACCATTTCCACCTTTCCCAATAGTTATCTTTAAAACCAAACAAAGTCCAAGTCTTTAACCCCCCC